AAAAGGGTACACGATAGATTTTTGGGCTAGCATTTATTTATCACGAGATATTTTACTTTACGGGACGACAGGCGAGAGTTATTTTTAGAGTGTGTTATTCTTGCTAAAGTTTTGTTTACTAATATGTGTGAATTCCTATTCATGATTGTAACTTTTTTTGGCACATTGTGTTTTATTCGACATTGTACTGGTACCATTCCCACAATATACTGTAAGTTAATAGTTTCCAATTATATTTCTATTTGACTTTTGTGCTTTATTATTTACTACTAAAACTAATTAATTTTAATTAGCCATGTTTCGAGTATCGTATTTCTCTGTTATTGTTTTTATCATTTGGTATCGTCTTTGGTTATGTACTGTTTTGGAACGAGCCATTCATCTTAATAAGAGATTGATTTCTCCCTACTGATCGCAGTGCGTAACAGTAAGCCTCTTTCTCCCTTCCACTTGTGTGGCTGTTTCTCTTCTCCTACCAGCCTCAAACACTGGAAATAATTACGCAAGTGATCGGATGTTATTTCTTTAAAATCAGCGGTCGGCATCAGAGTCACGTGGTGTTTGCACTTCGTGACGTCATCACCCCCCCGCGGGTCAGACCCCCGAGGCCAGCGATTCCGATTTCCAGATCGATACTTTAACCCTTATAACCACTTACACAATTAAAAAAAAAAATCATTGCAGAATACCAGCATGTCGTAAGTTATTAAAAAAACTTCATCATTTTGATGGTGATGCATATACTAATGTTAGTTAACTGACGCCCACTGTGGTATAAGAAGAGCTGCAAGTACTCGATATCACTTCAACCCGGTATCGTTCCCAAACGTTGGCGCCGTGACTTGGATGCTGTATTTAATGGTCCGATATAACACTATCGATGTATCCCAATGTTTGTTTTGCCACTGGGGAAAGTCTTCCGCCAAAAAAGTAGTTCGTGTATTAGATACAACTGCGGCGAACCAATCATTTGAGTGATTTAATAACAGCGGGACATGGTGTAGCTCGAACCGCTTCCAACGTTGAACTAATCAGTTAAAAGAGTTGATCGAATTCCGGCCAATCGTCGGTTAGATTCAATTGCGTTCCGGCCAATCGTTATGAGTCCTCGGGTTACCGTTTGACCAATGAAAAGAGAGATTTACCTAGTGTCTAAGCCTGCGCACACAAATGGATTGATCCAAGGACTAGCCTTACATGCCGATCTCTGTTTGTCTCCCTTTATGGGGGCGGACCATTGTCCCCTGGGATGTTGGTTTGCGACTTTGCGAGAAATCCCAGGGAAACCGACGCAACTAACACGAGGGTTTAACGTTGTGCACAGTGCCACGATGGAGAACCGATCTTTCAATCAGCCGTTTCTAAATTGGAGTCAGGCCCGGTTACTCACTCGAAGTTCTGTATGCCATATGTGAGTTTCTGCCCCTGGTGCCGAAGGGTCTACCGAAGTATGGGACCGGATTTTAGAGTGTAAAGTTGCCCGCAATGACCATACGAAATGTTATAACAATTTGACGTAATAGCATGATCGTTATTAGAGGCCGACCGAATTTAGGCTTCGGTTTCGGCACCTGAAGTTGCCATTTGATCCCTTTCGGCCTAGTTCCCTTTTTGGCCGAAACACAAAAGTTAAATTTCGGTTTAATTTCGGTTTCGGTCGAAAGTGATTGAGACTTTTGACCATCTGGCCGAAACGGATTGAGATTTCCGTTCATCTACCACCACTCAGACTGACTGTCTGTCTCTAGGCCGGCAATCCGATATTCCTTATTACTCGACGTCTTGCTGTCATCCTATGTTATATGACTGATACTCTGTGAAACTGCTCATAGCTGCTAATGGTCTACTTGTCCTTTATTTCCAAAAAATAAATTTCGATTAAGACCAGGCAAATGTAAATAGGTTTGTGGTAGAACAACGAATGGAATGGTAATCTTTGCATCATTATGTTTGTTTTAATTTTTTTCAAAACTAACATTTGGAACCCTAGGTTTATTCAATTAAATCATTTGTGACATTTATTTTGATATATTATTATCATGCTCATCAATGTTGTTATAGGCAAAGATGAATAATCTATATATATATATACTTCGCCAGCAATGGTAAAACCCCACCACCACGCAGGTTATATATAGATACGCCAGAGTGTGGTTAAATAATAGTTCATCATCATCATCATCATCATGTCCCTTAGTCCTTGGACCGTTGGGGCGCCACAGATGACATGTGAACTATCCTCCTCCATTCGTCTCTGTCTTATGCACTACGCGCAGCTTCGCCCAGTGTTAGTCCTGTCCACCTTTTGATGTTATCCTCCCATCTTTTTTCTTTGTCTTAATCTTCTTCTCCCTCCTCTTGTGCTGCCCTGCAATATTTCTTTGGCAAGCCCTTGTTTCCTTGTTACGTGGCCGTACCATTGTAGTTTGCGTCTTTTCACATTCACCAGTAGGTCATCGTACTCCTCAATAGTCTGACGAACCCTTTCTTTCACTGTATCATTGGAGATATGGTCCCTATAGCAGATGCCAAAAATGCTTCTAAAGCATCTCATCTCCATCGCCTTTATTTTCCTTTCAAGATCGGCTGTTAATGTCCAGGATTCGCAGGCATACAGGAAAATGGAGAGGACTAATGAGCGCATCAGCCTGATTTTGGTGCTGGGGGCTATATTTGTGTCATTCCATATTTTCTTGAAGGGGGGGGGGGGGGGGGAGAGAGAGAGCAAAATTGGCATTCTCAAATGTGCGTAACTTGAGTTCACGTTTTTGTCAAGTAACTTTAGTAGATGGGAAGTTCACGCATTGCTGTCGCCAATGTTTGGCGTGGCTCCATCTAGTTTTGAATAATCCTAGGAATGGTAACATTTCCATTATTATCAATGTTTATTTTATTTTTTTAAAATAAAAATTAAGGAATCTTAGGCTTATTCAATTCATTCAGTTCTTGAAATTCATCCTTATCATGCTGGCTCATAAACATTAATATTGACGAAATAACACGCGTGGGAATGTCTCCCGGGGTTCGTATAATTTACCAATGTAGTAGGCCTGGTGCAGACCTGTTTACTTTGATGATTTAAGGGACCTATTTAGATGTCTTCTGCGATTCTCCGTCGAGACCCGTCAGAACAACAACAATTTTAAGAGACCTGGTTGAAAAATATTTTTTTCACCACCAATTGGTGTGAGGGAGGATGGTCGCCGAACGAAATGACTAAGTCACCATCACGGAAAGACTAATGTGTTGTTACTTGGCTAAATATTACTACAGCGATATCTTGCCAGCTATTTATGAAAACACAAAGTATAAGTGATGCTTTGCGTTTTCATGAATAGCTGGCAAGAAAAAAAATTTGGTGATATATTGATAGCCTTACTGACTTATATTTAGATAACAATAGGCTACAATAGGCAATACTACATTAAAATATATTTTTAAGAAATTTAAATTACTTTTAAATTAAAATGGTTAACGCCAAAGTGTTCATTAGATGTTTATTGATTAATACTCACGATAATCTCATATTTTTTTTATAAAAATGATGAAAATATGAATATTTTACCTCATCATTTTTCGATGTATGCAGAATGTAGGTTTAAGCGTTGGTTTCACCCGAAAGTCTCGTAAAGCTATTGGTTTCGGCTTCGGTTTCGGCCGAAAGTAATTTTTAACTTATGGCCTAGTTTCGGTTTCGACCGAACTCAGAAAATAACTTACGGCCGATATCTAAACGTTATAGTATCAATGTCCATAGTCTTTTTTATATTGTTACTCTTTAACTTCACAGAACGTATATAGTTACTATTTCTTTATCTTCACAAGTCTTATATAAATCTTCATTTTTACAAGTGTTGTGTAAACGTCTCAATTTTCCTTGATAAAGCACTAACCAGTGGTCCGCGTCAAACTACTGAATTGAATGAAGCAAGTGGCAAACATGATTGAGTTAAACAAACATCTCACAAGTTTGGGATGAATTTTCGGCATGTCTTTTAGTTTGATTCCAACGGGATGTGTTCGACCTGATGGCTGCATCGTGCTCATTGAGTTTCTTTACAGAATGTTCTAGTGAGCCATCGCTGTCTACAGAACTTTCTAGCGAGCCATCACTGTCTACAAGAATGTTCCATCGAGCCGTCACTGTCTGGTTCTATCATTGAAATCTTAGAATTGAGTATGAAAAGCTCAAAAATCAATTCTGACATTTATTTGCGCAACGCATGCATCCCCTGTTCATTTTCGTCCAAAGAGTTGACCGCCATTTGAAAACAATCAAAAATTGATTGCCCGGAAGTTCAGTTTTTGAAGAAGGTCTCAAGCTGCACGGCATGTCTTAACACATAAATAATTCGACATGGATTTAAATAACAACATCTATCTACTGAGTTTAAAACAGATTCCACGGCATCAGGAGTCTGCGATATTTGATGATAATTTTCTGCGGTCCAGCCAGAGGCCTCCCTGTGTTTTAGGGGAGACTAGTGGACAACACAATGTCTTTCCATCGGTGGAAAGATAACCTTCCACCTCCCAGTACAATTTGTTTCTTAAATATATTTTTCTTATTTATAAAAAAAAACTGTTTATATCTCACTTAAAATTCAACTCTGGTTTTGACAGACCATATTAACAGTGGTTAGGTTTCTTCTAGCAGGGAGCTGTGCTGAGTGCGCTTGTCAGGACAAGGTAAAGACATAAATCTTTGATAAGATGGTGCAGGAATTCTTTTTTAATTATGTGCACCAGGGCGTCAGTGCACTTCATTCTGGAGCTCTCTGGTGTCTGTTTTAAAACTTTACCCTGAAATGACTCCTTGTACATTGACAACTTTTCTCTTCTAGACTGCTGCAGAGTATCTTGGGCTGTACAACCGGGCGAGGGGTACAGAGTACAGCAAGTACCACGGGTACGCCTACGACGGTGTTTGGGTGGTGGCCAAGGCCTTGGACCGCCTGCTCGATGACGTCAACATGAGCGTGGAGATGTTCCGAGGACCGATGGTTGGGAGGGTGCTCAACGAGACGAGTTTCATGGGCGTCACGGTAATGGGGCGTCGTGCGCCAATGTGTATGACCTTGACATGTTATCTTTTAATGATTTTCGAAGGTTTGCGTATGTCTGCGCATGTTTGTGTATGTTTGTGTATGTTTATGTAGGTTTGAGTATCTTGATGTTTGTTTGTTTAAGTTTGTGTATGTTTTTGTATGTTAGTGTATATTTGTGTATGCTTTGTATGTTAGTGTATATTTGTGTATGCTTTGTATGTTAGTGTATATTTGTGTATGCTTTGTATGTTAGTGTATATTTGTGTATGCTTTGTATGTTAGTGTATATTTGTGTATGCTTTGTATGTTAGTGTCAATTTGTGTATGCTTTGTATGTTAGTGTATACTTGTGTATGCTTTGTATGTTAATGTATATTTGTGTATGCTTTGTATGTTAGTGTATATTTGAGTATGCTTTGTATGTTATGTATTTTTGTGCATGTTAGTGTATATTTGTGTATGCATTGTATGTTAGTGTGTATTTATGTATGCTTTGTATGTTAGTGCGATTATTAGTTACCGGTTTTGTAAAATGTTTGTAATTTAATATAAATCATCTATATTTCGTTCGTATTCGAGCGATGTCTTTGCGTTATCTAAGGAGTGTATCTTGGAATGTTAAGCATCGGCAACTGACAAGGGGACACAAATCCTATCAACGCTGATTCAAACATTATTATTTACCTTGTCTTACTGAACACAACGATGGATTCTCTCAACGCCCTTGCATCTTTTATTTCTCCTCTATGGCATTATTATCAATTCCATGTAATTATTTTGGATTAATGACATGCAATAATTTTAATTAGCATTTAAATTAAAATTATATTTAGTCATGTGAAGAAATTTGTGAACCTGATCATCGAGTTAAATTGTTAAATAATAATGGAATCTGTGTAGTTTTACTTGAATTAATTTGATATTTTCTAGTTACTTTGACCAATGTGATCGTAATGTGTGAGTTACTTTGACCAATGTGATCGTAATGTGCGAGTTATTTTGACCAATGTGATCGTAATGTGCGAGTTACTTTGACCAATGTGATCGTAATGTGTGAGTTACTTTGACCAATATAATCGATATTTACTAGTTACGTTGACCAAAATAAACTGAGACTGCTCAGGAATCTTTTAAATTCATTTCGACATTTCTTTCTGTCTAAGGGTAGAGTCCAGTTCTCAAACGGTGACAGAATTGGGAGCATGACGTTGTTACAGATGAGACGTGAGTCCTAGCCACTTACCTCTACCATCTTCTTCTTCTACCTCTACCATATTCTTCTTCTACCTCTACCATATTCTTCTTGAACTGTTTATTCTCACATCAAATTGCAGCTTTCCCCCAAAAAATATTTAAAAAATTTAATTTTAAAAAAAAGAAAGAAAAAAGCCTTTTATGTCTCTTTATTTGAAGATCCTAAATTATGAGCTTCTTGCATTTACTCGCAGATGGTAAAATGGTCAAGGTCGGAGAGTACCACGCAATGACCGACACGCTGGACTTGAGTGCTGGTGAACCCGTCATGTGGCGAGGTAAGATTGCCGTCTTTTGATTGGTCAGAAGGGATCGTTGACCGTCAAGAGCATTTGATGGAACTCTCCTGATTTGGAGATCTATTAGTTCATGCCATAAAGTACTTACACTGTCTATGTCCTTTTGGCGAAAGAGAATCGCAAAGTGTGTATCAACCGAAACTTATGAAATTGAAGGTTTACAGCTAGTTATAAGTAGACATAGAGTTAGGTGTATAAAATGTATTTTACATTATCTTGTGTCGTTGTATGTAAATAAATTACATGAATTTGATTTTAATAATCTGAACAAACGAAGGCTAATTTAATATGTCCGTGTTTCTAACGTTCTGTAACGTCTCAGACGGCAAACCTCCTGTTGATCGCAGTATAAAGATAGACGAGCTGCGTCACGTGTCCTTCCCGGTGTACATCGGCTTCGTTGTCATGGCGTCGCTAGGTATAACAATGGCCGTTCTCTTCCTGGCGCTCAACATCCGGTTTAGACGTCACAGGTAGGCGTCCAGAAGTTTATCTTTTTAAAATGTGCCGCAGTTAGATTATTGAATATATTTTTATTCAAATTTTTTTTTAATTGATATTTAAGTTTTTTAAATATATATATATTTCAAGTCAATTTTCGGATCATCCAAAAAATTGTATGCTTTGAAAAAGTAAACATTTATAAAGCTGTTTTCATTTATTGAAAATTAGTTAGAAATTAACCCCCAAATATTTTAACATCTAACTGTTAGGTCTCCACGCGTGCATTGACAGTGGAGCTAGAATCTATATATATATATATATATATATATATATATATATTGTGGTATCATGACAAACTGGTTCACTGATGCTTCATCGCTTTTCTTATGATGTCCAAGTCAATATGTTAATATTGTCTTTTATTCTCTTCTTATTATGTCTTATCATTATATATATGTATAAATTTTCTATAAAATATAATATAAAGCTTTTTTTATTTATTGAAAATTAGTTAGAAATTAACCCACATATATTTTAACATCTATCTGTTAGGTCTCCGCGCGTGCATTGACAGTGGAGATAGAATCTATATATATATATATATATATATATATATATATATTGTGGTATCATGACAAACTGGTTCACTGATGCTTCATGGCTTTTCTTATGATGTCCAAGTCAATATGTTACTATTGTCTTTGATGCTCTTCTTATGATGTCTTATCATTATTTATGTGTATAAAGTTTCTATAAAATATAAAATTTGTCTAATAAATTATCATGGACAGATACATCAAGATGTCCAGCCCTAACATGAACAATCTCATCATCATTGGCTGTATTTTGTGCTACATGTCAATCTTTCTGCTCGGGGCGGAACCAGGGCATAAAAATAGGGTTCTCTTCAGCTATTGGTGCACCGTAAGTAGCAGGCTCAAATGTAATGTAGCAATGCATCTATAGATGGATTTATAGAAACGTTTGTGATAATACACTTTGATAGATTGTTTGAGCTATGTTATATATATATTTAAACACCTTATGATCAGGGTTTCTTTCAGCTATATCTACGGGTGGGGGGGGGGAGCCAAGTGCAACCCCCCGAGCAAAAATATGTCCAACAATAAATTAACTGGCACTTCCCCACCCCCCCCCTCCACACGAAAAATCTGAAATGTCCCTCGGGGGGGGGGGGGGGAAATTTCAGAAA